TTTTCTTTTTTTTTGTTCAAAAGCTAAACTCATAAGTACTCACAATGTAGGAAGACTAAGCTAACACTAGAAAACAAAAGTTTTTGTGCAATTGCAATTGCATGTTTGCATTACAATTTTATGTCTATGCTAGTTATCCAATATTCAACACCCAGTAAAATATTACATTCAAGAAACAGCTTCCTATTCTTCTGTCTTACATTTTCATTACTCAATTATTTAGGAAGGCTCATTATGCCAGCTTAGGTTTCCACTAATGTGAATTCTCTGTGGCTCTTAAAAACACCCCAAATTGAATTATTGCTTTCATCTTCTGGGAGTCTCACTCATTTTCCTACCATTAATCTATTTGTATCATTTTTTATTGCTCTCCTCAGTTTCGTTTCCTTTTTAAAATCTATTGTTTTTCAAAAATCCCTTTATGAATTTTAAAATCTTGAGTTTATCCTTCCTTTCTATCTTGGTTTTTTTGGGATTTGTTTTCATTGCACGTCTCTTTCTGATCGTGGTCATGTTTTCCTTTCTGCAACCTGTATTCTTGTCAGCCATCCCCTGCTTCATCTTTTACTTGTATCTCACATTCTGTCTCAACTGTCTCTCTAACCCAATCATTATCTGTGGTCATGACCATGATCCCTATATATATTTCTAAAAGGGCCCATTAGTTTCCCGTTTGTCCACAGAAGGATTTCTTTTCCCATTCCCCTCTTACCCACATCAGTGCTTCCACACAGAAGATTAGATTAAAGTTCACATTCAATAGCTGAGAGTCCACAGCACAGAGTCCACAAAGATGCTTGTGGTGTACACAGTGATGGAGTCTTGTAGTGGTTTCACAGTGAGCTAATGGTTAGAGAAACCAGCTTTTGACCGGAAACACAGTGAGTTCTTTGAAATAATGGCATTTCTTTCCTGCTTGACCTACACAAAAATAGCCTATCTGTTTATCTGCAGAGATGTTTGCTTGGCAGCAGTGACTCATCTATGCACTGAGACTTTTTAAAATCTGTTATTTTTTAATAAACTTGGAATAAAAAAGAAAATCAAACATCAACATCAAAAGGTCTACTTAGGCTCTCTCAGCTGCTTGATAAGAAGGCAACTGGACTTATTTTGGTTTGTGAAGATGGTTAGCCTCTCGTCATTTAGTTCTAAAACAACTGATGTACCCTTTAACCTTGTAACTGAAGATGCAGACACCCTAACAAATGCAGCATGAAAATCTTTTTCAAGTTTTGTGGGATCAGATGTTTTTTGGAGACATATTGTAACTTGTATTATAGAAACACATACAGACGACAATAGACATCAAGGGGGGAATGAAACGAAGGTCCCGGTTTGAAATGAGCAGCAGGTTTTGTGTTTAAGATGTATATGTTTTAACAAAAAAGGAAATAAATAAAAATTAATTTGAAAGAATAAGGAAACTATATTATTTTGAATACAATCTAAGCAATTTATAACACCTTGTATATTTAACTGTTTAACTCTAAGTCAAGTGTGTCATATTGGATATATGCGTTTTTGTGAGTTTCTGAGACTTCTACATACTCAGTGTGACTTTTTTCCCAGAAAAAGTCCAAATAAAATCTACAATTCACTTTTGAGGAATGCACTGAAAAAGAAAATGCCTTATCAAATATTATACAAATTTAAAGGGCCTCAAATGTAAAAGGGTTAAGCAGTGTTTAAAGTTTGCCTGAAAGTAACAACCCATGCTGCTGAAATCACATTTGTAAGGCGTAGATCCTGCCATAGGGAGCGATTACAAAGACTGTATTGTCTACAATTATTTCTTGCATTAAGTGACGTACACAGATGCACACAAACTCAAACACACAGAAAACAGGTGACACTGTGAGATGCAAGCCAGTTGTGTTTCCATGCTAACAGTAGATTGGAGCGTTTGGCTTGCGGTTTTTACAGATTGGTTCTGCTCAGCCAGAAAATACACCAGCATTATAGCAGAAAATTACAGAAACGTCTGTGTATGAGTAGGGCACATTTGTTAGTGTGCAATCATTCATTTCTGTCCTTCCTTTGAAATCTAGATACTGAAATAAGTCTTCGGGGTAAATACTGACTGCTTATACACTGTAATTTGGAGACAAGTACCAGTCTGTGATATGGCATCTGCATTTGTTTGGGCATGGTATTGCTTGGCACTCCATGCTGTCTGACGATGTGACCTCATACAACACCATAAGCTTTAAGATAATCAAATCATTCACAGAACACTCCAGCATTTGCCAACAACTGACACACACACACACACACTGAAATAGCTTAGAGAGTTTTCCCTTATGGTAGATTCCCATTTGGATGCATGGAAGTATATTGGCTGCGCTAGATGATGTCAGCTGGTATTTGTTAGGATTGCTCCTGAGCTTCACTTCTTGCTCAGCCTAAACATATTCCTGATTTGAGATTTTTGTGTGGTACTAAATTTTGAAGAATTGGGCTTTAAAAATTGGTTGCTGTGACTAAAAACAACTGGAATTTTACATGTTCTTTCCTGGAGATGGAAAAATCCTTTATAGTCATTTTTTTGGCACATACGGATATCTGTATCAGCGGAAGCTAAAAAACTAATTTGTTTCTATTTGTTTTTTTGTTTAATGAAAAGTAAGAGAAGTCCAAAGGTTTTCAGTGCATGTACAATGAAACAGGCAAGCAATACAAGGGAGAGACTTAGTTTGGGGCATGGAATTGAGCGTTCTTGATAGTGCTTCAAAATGACCTCATTTAGACTAAACCAAAACAGATCACACCCTCACTCAAAAGACTTACTTTCTCAGTAACATGTCGGCTTGAGTGGAGAAGAATAAATGTGGCTTGTTCTAAAATTTTAAAACAATATTTCAAATTGATGCTAATGATTTACTGATTAAACTGAAAAGAAACTGTAAAAACATAAAGCAATTTTTCTATTTTCAGTAAAGAACAGTCATCTCTAGTCCGAAATACATGAAGCTAAATGACTGTAACTTTGTTTCTTAATGTTAATTCCTGAATCCTAATGCTTACTATTGTTATGTGATTATAAAACCTGTGTTTTCTACCTAGATTTATAGAGTGAGTCTTTTGCAAATAGCTATGCAACCTTGCATTAACATCATTAAAGTTCATATGAAGTCAGTTATTCGAATGTTCTTACATCCACTTAGCTTTTCATTTTTTCTTGTATTCCTGAATAGAAAAAAGGAGCTGTAGGATAGTTGTAACGACACCAGAGAATTGACATTTTTATTTATCCATTAGACAATAGATAAAGACAGCAATAATGCTGGTTTCTATTGTTAAAAAAAAGTTGTTGTTTTTTTTAGTTGTATATTCATTACTGATATTTTACTGCAAAAATGTGCTTACACATATAATATAATTTATAGCAATGGAAGAATCAGACAAAGCAGATTAAGGGTTTTTTGTTTTTTTTGCCTTTTTTTTTTTTTTAGTCCTACTTCCTCCTAGAAAAATCACATTATCTGCAAAGAAAACTATGACAGTTAGATTTAATTCATACCATGGTATATAGCTTCCACCCCATGGCCATTAGGAAACATACACCAAAGCTGGCAGATTAATTTCAGAACTGTTTACCTCATACGTTACCAAAGAGGTAAAGAAATAAACAAAACATCTCTACACAGCAGATGTTCTTTCTCTGCCTCTTTAACCCACTATAGGCTCCAGATCATAGTCTCCTGTCCACTACTTTGAGTTAAGTTTGGAGTAAAGACAACAACAGGATGAGATAGCAGAGCACATAGGAGAGAGATCACTTGCAATCCTGTGGTATGTTTTGTCTAGGATGCAACACATCCTGCTTCCAGGCACTAAGAAGCCTTTTCCCCCACAATTTTTAACATACTATAAACATAACTGAGCTGGTCTGCTAATTTGTTCTAGTTTTAAATGAAAAAAGAAGAAGAAGAAGAAGAAGTAGAGTCTGATTATTACAGAGTCCTGCAAAGTGTGAAACATAGCTCTGCTTAATGCTCACACATAAAACTGTCAAGACTTCACACGCAGCTTGGGTGATAAGTTAAACAGGCAGAGTTTCATCTGCAGCGTATAAACAGACACCAAAAAAGTTGACCACACTGCAGCACTACAGTAAAAAAAAACCAAAAAAACTCCTGCTGTTCATTGCAACTGTGTTTTTAGTTTTAGTTTGGAAAGCTGGACTGAGGCCAGCTGTATCTGTGAGAACTGTAATCTGTTTTTTTTATGCACAGCCTATATACCTCAGACATCCGTTAGTGTTCTTTATAGGTGAAAATGAAAGTACAGCTGGAGAGTAATTGAGGGTATTTCACAATTCTTACCAAGAAAACAGGACATGCTAGCACTAGAAACTTTCTTCAGAACTATAAAAGATGGGATGTGGGATTAATCTAAATTCCTCATATTCTGTTGGTAGTACAGATGCTGTTGTTTACAGACTACCAGAAAAGTTCATTTGTTTTGTGCACAATTATTGTGAAGCGTAAAGCCTTAAAGGCACTTGCATGGACATGGGCCTTGGTACTTGATATATGCATCTTCTAAAAGAGACATAATTTACTATACTTTAAATCAACAAAACCACATTATTCAAACCACTATGTTTATATATTTTTGCTTGCATATATTTAATTATTTTCATACTCATTTGGCTATTTGCAATCATAAGTTTAAAGGTGACTTCATAACTAAAAATCTGAGCATTTTAATAATGATCATGGGGAGCACCACTGACCAATATGATTTACTATATATGAGGTCTGCAGTAGTGCTAGGAGGACATTGTGCTTGGATTCAGTGTTGAATGTAACAGCCTCTTAGTTAAACTAATTAACACATGCATCGTTTTGCTGCTGCTGGCGACTTCAAATGTTGGGTCATTGCTACAAAGACAAATACATATATAGGCAGTGGCATCCTGCTAGAAAGTCTAGGTTAGTGACTATCAAGAGATCAACAGCTACAGTACGTAGACTGAAAGTGAATGCTCTTACCCAACACAATGACCACAGTCTTCAGAAGAGACATCATGGTATCTCGGTTGCGTCGTGGTCCAGAGCTGTGCCGTGACATCCTCATGGTTCTCTGCCTCACATACACAAAGATGTGGGCATATAGTGTCACCATGACAACAAAAGTCACAAGATTAAACACTGCCCAGAAGACCAAGTAAGAGTTGCTGTAGAGAGGTGCCATGTTGGAACAAGACTTAATGCTACAGATACAGTTCCAACCTACGCTGGGTATCGCCCCCATGACTATGGACATAGTCCAGATAATGACAATCACAACCACCACGCGCCGGTTGCTCATGCGTGTGTGTAACTGCATGCGGAACACGGTGATGTGGCGTTCAATGGCGATGGCAAGCAGGTTGGCTACAGATGCAGTAAGGCTGGTGTCAATCAAGCCCTGACGCAGCAGCCATGTCGAAACAGTCAGACGCTTTGTGTTTGGTCCCGTGTTGAACATCAAGTAGAAGTACGCCAATCCAGCAAAGAAGTCAGCAGCTGCCAGGTTGGCCATCAGGTAGTAAATGGGGAAGTGGAATCTCCTGTTGACGTAGATGGCGATCATTACCAGAAGGTTGGCGAGCATGATGAAAATGCACACAGTGATGCCAAGGCCCATCACCAACCGGCTGTAGGTGTCCCAGTCGTTAGCAAGAGGCTTGTCGCTGCGGTTGTAGAAAAAGGTGATGCTCTCATTATAGTAGCATTGTTCCTCATCCATGGTTGTAGTGGTGTTTACTAAAATGAGAAAAGACATGGAATACATAAAATTTTCATAGAACACAGTCTTTTGATGTATATTTGAATACCATAGATTTAATTTCAAAAGGGAGGTTTATTTTTCAGATCCATGGAACTGAGACAACATGCACCACCTCAAATCAAAATCTGCATTATGAAGTCAGTGCTGTTTAACTTTTTTATTGTTTCCTTTACTTGATCACCTCGTGTAAATCACACCTGTGATGTTAAATCATCACAGAAGGAGCATTAAACTAAACAAAGAAACACTTCCACTGAATGTGCAAAAGCATATGTGAGTATTTCAGCTTATCTGATCATCTGATTGCAGTGCTGTGTGAGTGAAACGTGAATCCTTTTCTCAGATTTTATCTTGACAGGCTGATACTTACAGAGGTTTTGCTAGAAATTGTTACAAAACAGTAGATGCAGTGTGATCAAAACGCCTTTGTGTGCTTTAAATGTGAGAATCTGGGCCTATTCATTACAATTTTGATGTGAAGCAATCTAGTATATTAATCTATATCATAGGCATGCTCCATGTTAGTTGTCATCTATAGCAGTCACTATTATCTCATAGAAAACATACACTGTCCAATATACAACCATGTGTAAAATGAAGCTTGTGTTGCCTACAAGTCACAGAAGTTTACAAGTTTACAGAAACATTACACAAAGGTGCTGCGTTTTTTGTGCCTGCAGGCTTGCCTTTTTTTTTCATCTGGTTGAGATTTACTAGTATTTATGCTTAAAAGATGCATGAGGAGGAGACTGAGTGAATGTGTGTGTGAATGGGTGGATGACTGAATGTAGTGTAAAGCGCTTTGGGTCCTTAGGGACTAAGTATAGCACTATACAAATACAGGCCATTTACCATTTTACCATTTACTGAGAAAATAAGTAGAAACAACAGCATCATCTCTCTCTCTTTCTCTCTCTCTCCCACACACACACACACACAATCACTACTCACATGAGTATATGTGTTTGTAATAAAGCTCAAGTCCCCCACAGATGCTGGCTAGTGTCTCTCATGCACCTAAGACCGGAAACAGGACCTCAGGGCATGAGTAGTCTGTTTGTGTGTGTGTCCTAGAGATACAGACACAAAGAGGACTGGAGAAAAATGAGGGGACAATGACTGAAAGAACAAGTATTGGAAGTTTTGGGTCAAAGGCCGGTGTTTTCTTTTTTGTCTTACTTTTAAATTTTCTTTTCTTTATCCAAATTATTTGAAACCCTTCATGAAAGTGCAAACATGAAGAAGCCCCCCCCCCTTAGCTGACTTGCAATTTTGGGAGAAAAAAAATTATTACAACCTTCACCTCTAAAATAGTCACATGGACAATCAAAAATCATCCTGGGAAATGAAGCAATGTTGAAAGCATTGAAAACTTAAGCTTGCCAAAGCTATTTGTTCAAATTCTGCAACTCAACTTGGTAATTTGCTTTTCTGAATGTTATATAATGGAGAGCGAAAACCTGCAGGTCTAACCAATAATTTTCTCAAGACTGTGCAATTGTTCCATAGTGACTCATGCGTTAAAGTATAAGTTTGGTATAAACAGCAGAATGACGGCAGCAAAATGAGCAGTGTGTGATATACGTACATTGCTTAGGTGTGTATTAGACGTTGCAGTGCACCAATGGCAACTTAAAGCTGTTTGCTTAAAGTTGAAACCAGTTAAAGAAAATACTTTTCTGGATATTTAGATTTCATTTTATTTATTTATCTTTATTTTCTTAAAGACCAATAAAGAACTCCAGCTGCAGCCATATTTGCCTGAAGCACCAGTAAAATGTTATTTTGTTTACTAAAATAGCAGTGGTACATTGTATTAGCAGTATTGGATTATAGCTAGTACTGGACTGTTCCAGGCCTACGGGATGTATCTGCTTCTTAATTTCCAAACACTAACCAGACAGCGTTGGAAAGTAGGGCCTCCTTTTTCAGACATGCTTATTTACCAATGTTTTGTTTTGCTTTTTTTAATGGTTTTGTCTATGTGTAAGCAACGATCATTCCCTGTGTTAATACAGCTCATTTAATACACTCGTGGAGAGACTTATGAAACTCTTTGGCAACTGATTAATTATGGAACCCTTGGACCTTGGTTCACAGCTGTTTTCACTACATTAACCACCAATATGTAAACTCACTAGGTCCTTTGAGATTGTCTTCCATTGTTATGCTGATGATCTACAATTATTTACACCAATTTCTGGAGGAAATTGATATGCCTGTTAATTTTGGTGAAAAGATGGTTTTAAAATTTAAGTATTACTGAACTAAAACATGGATGGACAGAAAGCATTTATTTATTTTTATTTATTTATTGTTTAAGAAAACCCTTTTTATTCATTCAAATGGCTTTCTTTCACCTGAGAAGTTTTGCTAAAATCAGACGTATTTTGTTGTTCAAATATGATGAGGTTCTATTTTATGCCTTTGTGCATCTAGTTTGGATTATTGTATTGCTTTACTATTAGGATACCCAAAGAAGAGGTATGTTAGAGGTCTGAACATGGTTTAGAATGCAGCAGCTTGCATTCTTACTGGTTCATCTAAATATGATCATTATACTTCTGCGCTTTGCCTCTCTTAATTGGCTTCCTATTTATGCAAGAGCAGACTTTATATCTGCATAACATTCTTCTTGAAAGTCGAAAAAGCCAGAAAAAACAGGATTTGTTTTGCACCTTAGCAAGGTAGAGCCATTCATTCATGATTACTATAGTGCAGTGCTTGTTTGCTGCAGCGCAGTCATGGACAGAGCCTGGTCAGTGCACTACATATGGCTTATTTAGGGAGTTCCAAATACACAACAATTACAGTATAGATTACAAGTTTTCCAGTTTTACTACTCTTTACATTCACTGCTGCCAGCTTAGATTAAGTTGTAGTTAGCTCTGTTAGCTCTGGTCTGTGCTTTCTAAAGGACTATGATGGAAAGCACTCTTTAAATAAATATATTATTGTTAATAAAGAGGATTTTTTAATTAACCTGCATAGTTCTTCCATACAAAAATTAAAATATAAAAATTTTAAAATAAATAATATAAGGAAATCATTCAAAGACCAACATTTTAAAAGGACTGACAACAGAAGATGACTTGCAGAGGTTTATAGTATACTGAGGCCAGCGAGCAAATCATTTTTAGTGTAGTAATGTGCAGTGTCCAGCCCTGTAAGGAAACTGCATTGTTTATGTTTTTTTAAACCAGGATTCATTTAACCCTCTGGGGTCCACGGATGCGCCAGGGCATCAAAATCACATGACCAATTTTAAAAAATGTACAATTTGTATTTGCATTTCAAGTTTTGAAAATGATTCGTTAAACATATTTGTGGTTCTTACAGTAAGAAATATAACTTTTTTCTACTCTGAGTTTAAGTTTTTTGTCTGAATTTAGATCAATTGTGCTAATACATTATGTCAAAATGAAACCATAACTCCAAATTCAGATATGTGAGGTTGTGCTGAAAAGAATGATACCAAACAAGGCAAGATAAACAGTTTTAAAAGGTGAAATGTAGAGGTCAAATCAAAAGTAGTCAAAAACGGCCAATTTTACCCTGGACCCCAGAGGGTTAAATAGAAAGCTGTATGGCCTCATTGCAAAAGAGTGTTATTAGGACATGTGAAAATAAAGAACACATCTGTTTTTGAAGCAAACTGCTAAATTTGCAATACTCCCCCCTTTCCTGTTTGTAATGGGTGTGTTATTTCCTTTTGGTGTCTGTGGAAGTTTTTTGGGTTTTTTTCTTAAAGAAGTGACAGTATCATTCCTGCATCTAATTATTAAGATTTTAATCATTGCTCATGTAAGGCAGTGAGTCAACAATAAGAAGAGGCATTATGAGGAACAACTAAATGACAGCAGCAACACTAATTTAAAAGAAAGTCACAGGGATCGAGTCTCCATTTACAATGACCACAGCGGATGCCCATGTCGTCGTCTGCAGTTTATGGCCATTAAATGTCTGGAGGGAGCAATCAACAGGGCATTAGATGCCTGAGACAAGTCATTATCAAAAGAAAGTGGAGGAAGTGTCAGTGACCTCTCACTTTCATCAGACCTTCAGAGCCTGTGGAAGGAGATCCTGTCATTGTGTATGTATCTGCATACAACAGTTGATAGCTGAATATTGTACAAGACTGTGTAAGAAAAAGGACATAGAATGAGGGGAATTTCGTTTTTTGTTCCTGAACAACACAAAGAACAGTGCAGTGACTTATTTTTCAAGAATTTAAATGTGTTTGAGAGCAAGAGAGGAACGTTTGGGAAGTGTGTAGAAGAGAACAAAATGCTCACTGTGCCCAAGTGTGTGTCGACACACTCTTCATGCTTGTTAGTAATGTGTGATAAAGTCTGGCTGTGCGGAGTGAGAGACTCAGTGTGCGTTTTGTGTGTGTAAGTGTCTAACAGGCTATGAAAGGACCACCCTGGAATCCATAGATGTGAGGTCATTACTCAAGGATCAACAGCAAGGCTACATCCGTATATTGTCAATGTACGCCTAACTGACACATGCATAGGGGCTAGTTGTTCTTCACCATTACTTATTCACGCTACAACAAAGTGCTAAATTGACAATACATGATGCAGCCTTGCAGGGTGAGATAATTTTTCACCTTTGAAAAATTGAGCTACTAATGCTCAATCACAAAACTACACGGGTCCTAGAATATGGATTCAGTACCACATACAATGGAAGCTACAGCTTGAAATGAGGTAAACAAAGTACCATAGATTTTTTTTATTACTATTAAAAGATTTATGGAAATCTTCAACACTTTGCTTTAGGTTAGCTGTAATAGAAACGGGCTCATGGCATTTAAATCTGTTAACACACTTTATGGTATTAGTAGAAAAGCACTGAATCAGGACTGCTATGTCAGCATGTGCTACATAGTAAATTGTTTATCCAGCCCATTCTCATCGCAAGGACATTAAATCTGTCATTTTCTCCAAATTACACACAGGGCGTCTTT